CACCTTTTCAGCTCACGATTTTCGTTATATGCAAATCATGAATTCGAAATATTATGAAAAGAAGGGGCAATCCAAATACGCATTAAAGGAGCGTTACCCGTGTCATGCAACTGACGACTGGGGCAGCAAGATTAACAACAATTGCGCAGAAATTTAGCGGATTAAAAGGATCGCGACGAAAGTGGTAGGTAATAGCGGCTTGCTTACAAAAGGGTACATAAGCGGTATCTTTGCAAAAGGCAAAATTAATTGAGTCAAGAAAGTCGAGTCGTAATAGCAAAGCGAATGGAAGCGTTGCAAACGCAAAATTCCTGAAAAAAAAAGTGCGAACAGATTTCCTAATTTTAGAAATAAAGCCTACAAACCACAATTCAACGGTACGAACTTATTTCAAAAGGAACTTGAACAAATAATGTAAACACCAAGTTACTTTACGTTGTAGTATTATAACAAAACGGACTAAATTTTGTCTCCTGAGTCTAATAGAGATGACGGCAAGGAATATTTATTTAAAAAAATTTTATTTCGCTCATTTTCATTTAAATCCGAATTTTCGAATAAATTTTCTTTGTGAACGCAAATGTTCATTCGAAATCAACAGAGCATTCAAAATATGTTTTTAATTTTTGTTTGTTTGTAAACAAAAATTTATGCTTTAGAAATCATTTTTTTTTTTTTTTTTTTTCTGTTAATTTCGTACATGCAATGAACTTAAAGTTGAAATTTTATAAAATTCTCCGGTCCACATTACCGTATAAACATATATATGAAGTATACATATATATATATAAGCGTGTGTGGGAATGCGTGTTTTTTTTTTTTTTACATATACGTTTACATTCACATTAAATATTTAAAGAAAAAAAATGATTAACATACAAACATGTAAATATTAAATAGAAAGAAGAAGGAAAATCATGCACTGACCGACTATTGTAGGCCTACCAACCGCTACACTATCTTGCAAAGTACAGGATAGTACAGAACATTATGATCGTACAATAGATAAAATTGGCAATTTGGACAGCACTTTCCATGAAATGTTGTTTCGCTCTTTTCCTCCTACCATTGCTTGTCACGGTATAATTTCGTTCGTTGGAAAACGATTACGAACGTGCGATATCGATGTGTGACGAATACAGACAATTTTGACGATCCAGCCTTTTCTAGGGTAAAGCATCGAGTTATACGTTTGGTTCAACTTCCTACCAAACACCATAATGATCATTCAACTTTGAACGTGGAGTCGAAACTTTCTCAAAAGGAAATCAAGAAAACTCCTAGTTAATGATTTAGTAAAACAATTTCTATATATAGCCATATATATATATATACAATTGTATACATATTGGCTAATCGTTAAGAGAAAAAATAAACTTAATTAACATTCCTGTACTCGTTATAGACTAAATTAGGCTTGAAATAAAGAAAAATAATTATAAAGCGTACGAATATTTTACGAAAGAGTTATGTTCTTTATCAGTATAAGGAACGGACTGCTCTAGCCTGGAGCCGGTCTACTGAAGTATAGTGTATGATTAGAAGCTCAATTCCATCTTCGATCGTGTGACGAATAGAAGATTTGACATTAATTCAGCATGGTAGCGCTAGCAGCAGCAGTAGTAGTAGTGGTAGCAAATAACAAAAACTTAATTTTTTTTTAACTTAAATATGGTAATAATTATCTCCCTTAAAGGCCAGTGAAGTTATTTTCTTTTTGATTAAATTTCATTTGCGAAAGTTAGGTGATATTCAATGCCAAGCGAAAGTTTCGAACATAAATCAGTTTCGATTATAAATTTCTAATATTACGTACCATGATTACAAATCCATATTATTTTAAATTTGTATACATAGCGAAATGGTTGTAAATTGCATGATCGCCCTTAGTAGTTTTCAATCTTACCGTTACGAGATTAATATGAAGCGCATTTCACCAGCTTGGCCCTCTGCTGTACTAAACATAATTCGTATATATATAACACAATCGCAACAATAAATAAGTTCGAAAATACTTTAGTTGCTGACCAATTAGATATAGTAAATATTTTAAGAGAATTATCCCAATCCGCAGTCTTCATGGTTAGGATATCTTTGATGATTGATGATTGCTCTTTTTATATCCACCGCTGTAAGGTGTAAGGGTTATATGCATTTTGTTATTTTTCATAATATATGTAGCACCCAACACGAGGCTTCAGCGTGAAATTCTGACTTGATTTAACCATGTCTGTCCGTCCGAGTCCTTGTGTAATTTTTCCTGTTGGCACTCTCCTGGTCGCAAAGATAAAAATATCGGAAGTTTTTGCGCGCAGGTTGGCATTGGCAACGGACCAAATTTGTCAGGACAGAAGCCCACAGTGGAGCATAAACTGAACGCAACTCCGTTTTTCTTAACAAAAATTTGTAGGCTTTTGACTCAGAAGTTATTAACGTTAGAAAGACCGCAACTCCGTTTTTCTTAACAAAAATGTGTAGGCTTTTGACTCAGAAGTTATTAACGTTAGAAAGATGAAATTTTCCGCATTTAGTTAACGAAACACTCTGCTCTGCACTCTGCAAAACTGGAAAAAATGGGCCATGCCCATACAATATTGCAACTGATTACATTTTTTTTTTTTTTTGAGGTGTTATGCTTATTTGCCCATAACGCGAACAAGGCAGACTGTTTAAAATTATTTCGTACATTCCTCAAGCGAAGATGTCTTAGCTGGCATGAATGAATATGGTAGACACCGCAATTAATTTTTTCTTAATAATACCAGCGATATGGGTGTCAAATGAAAGACCTTGGACCGTAGAACGCGAAAAGCATAGTGGTGAGTGTGCAAAACTCGTCGTCCGCCGAATATAATTTTCTTACTTGTTATTCGTAATTGGCCTCATAATCTAGGGTATCAAGGCATTTAAATCTACGCCTTTTATTATTTCCTACAAACTTCAGTTAGGTGCGATTTTATCCAAGCCAAAGATAATTTTCATTTTATTTTCTTTTTTTAACGAGAGAATTAAAAAAAGAAAAATGGAAAAAAATAAGTGAAAAAGCTCTGGCGGACCGCAGCTCACTATTAAATACTTTACACTACGTTACAGCTATTCGTGTAATGACTTTTCAAAATAAAACGTGATTTGAGAAGTGGTCGAAAATGCGGTCCGATCCGAGCCATTTGCAATAGGGTGCGATCTTTGGCCGAAACACATCGATACACCAAATTTCATCAAATTATCTCAAAAATTACGAACACAGGAAACCAACAAGACGGACAGACAAGGTTAAATAGATTCAGGCAGTGATTCTTAAGCGATGGGTGTGATAAAAGGAGAGTCTATCACCACCGCAAAGCGGGTTAGAGACGTCCATACGCTTTAGTTTTATTGTGTATTTTTCACTTAAAAATATGGTCGTAAGCCGTTTAAGCCTGCATTTGGCCCGCATGTCTTCATGTAAATGAAAAAAACGAAGAGGCGAATATACGCTGAGCGTAACTTACCCTTCATTCGCCCCTCCTTTCGTCGTTGTAATAGTTACGACAGCATCTGCATGTTTTTTTTTTTTTTTCTGTCTTTTTAAATAATCAAAGCGTTTTTAACCAATCCTTTCTTTTTCTTCTTCTTTTTAATTTTTAACTGCACCTATCATTTGGTGTGTCGTTTTCTTCAGTAAGTAATAAATATTCTGTTAATTATTGGCTATAAACGTTTATAAATTCAGAGAAAAAAAAAATTATATCACCGTTATTAAGGCTGCAAGACAATAAAACTCCTTCTATTCGTCCATTATATCTACTAAAAGAACGTTAGAAACGATGAATTAAATATATATTCGCTATACCCCAGATAAATAGAAAGAAGATGTCTCAAGTAAAATTTTGTTTTGTATATCAATTCAGAATTAACAAAAGACCTTCGATATAAAGGATGATTTCACTTACCTCACGCTTTACTGATTCTTTTATTATTAATTTTTAACTAAAAGCATAACACTGATTACTTCCCCTCATTCATCTTAAACATATTACAAGTTCTAAATACACGCTTAACTGATTACATTGATGATATTTTTAGGATCAACTATAAGATTAAGGGACCAGAAATAATATTAGTGGTAATCGGCTACTGTTTTACTATTACTTATTATAGAATGATGATGATGATGATGATGATGATGATGATGATGATCATCATCATATTCATTATATTGTGTTTTTGAAAACAATATGAAAATTATGTCACTGTCATTAAAAAACAAGCGAGAAAAAAAATCTGTGATAAATCTAACGAAATAAAGTTTAAAAATGTATACGTGCGTGCGCGTGAATATGCAAAAGTGTGTTCACAGACCATATCATCACATAAAATACTATGCACTACCAGAACATTGTCTCTAATGATTACGATGTTTATGAATATATATGTTATATATATATATATATATATATAAGTGTGTGTATGTGTGTATATGTGTGTGCACACATGTTTGCATATAAATGATTGGAAGTTTGTACCCAATAATAATTTTAGTAATTTCCGCACATAACTTAGAACAAAAATGCAAATAAACATTTACTTAGTGACTAAAAAACACTGACAGACACATCAGAATTTACTCATAACCATGTAAAAGAAAAGCGTTTAGAATTATTAAATGTTTTTTTTTTTTTTTATTTCTTGCTTTTTATTCTTATTCATTGTGTTGTTGTTCGCCAAAAAGTTTTACAAAAACGCAAGACCAAAGGCAAAACGTAAAAAAAAAGTGCAGAACAAAAAAAAAATATATATATACATATATATACATCAGCACACGCTTATAGCATTAATATTGAGTCTGGTTAGATTATGCAAACATATAATATACATATGTGCGATTAGTTTGAGTAGCAAAAGTAGTTTAGTGCATATTTTATGCTGTGTTTATATTGCGATGTTGTTAACGACGTTGAAGCTGGCTTGTGTGTGTTTACTGTGCTGTGTTGTGCTTATGCAGTGCGTTGCTGAGTTCTTGTGTTAGTCCCGTAGCTAGTATATGATTTTGATTTCAGTTGACCATCAGCCATCAAACGAGTTGCACACATATTAACGCGTTACACAATAATTTTACTCGTTGTAGTGTGATACGTTCTTGGGCGGACCAGCTTAGAGTGATTCCATCGATCACATCATCAAACAGCAAGAAGCAACAATACACGAGTGTGGCGCCCATCTACAATTCAACGTAGAACGATTTAAATCAGTGAGAGTAAATCTGTGTTTCTGCATAAATCAAGTCGTGATTTTTCGTTTATTTATTTTTATCATTTTTTCATTTTTTAATATGCGGTGTGATTGATTGACATATTTATCCGGTAGCTTCATCAGCATTGATTTGTTTACCATACTACTATCCCAAACACGTTATCTTTTTTTGTAATAAATGGTATGTGATGTGAGTGTTAGTGTAAAAAAAAAAAAAAATATAAAATAAAAATAAATGAATAAAAAAAATAAGTACATATATATGTATGTATAAAAATAAGAAACTTTGAAAATTTTTCTTCTGTTTGCTCCAGTGAAAGCTTACTGTACTTAGATAAATATTAAAATGCTTCTCTCTTATCCCAGTATATCCTAATATCCTCTTATCTGCATAATGCCAGCATAGTCTATATGCAACGGGTATAATATTAAGATTTCGCTTTTACGCTTTAATCAAGAAAGACTTTGCAATTGCAATTGCAATTGCAATTGCGATCTCCAATGCTTAACTATCTGTGTGTATATGCATACTGTGTAAGTGATGTTATCTTTTGTTATTTTCCATTGATGCAAATGTACACATAAATCTATTGAAAAATTTACATTTGCTAGCAGTTTATTTAATCTACTTTAAAGCTAATATTGCTTATATAAGTATATAAGTGTATAAGGCGTATGTATAGAAGGGGTTCATTTTTTTGTTTATTCATTTTTTATTTTTGTTTTTCTTTTCATATTTCGGTTTGCCTTTAACCTTACAACAATACAAGTGTTTTCAGAGAATTCCTGCAGAAACGTGTTATAATTCAATTAACCCAGTTGCAGTTAATTACGTTGGTTTGCCAACACTCACAAGTAGGCATTTAGTGTGCAGTGTATAGAAAAATTTCGGAATTGTGTTATAATCAAAGCATACAAAAAAAAAAAGAAAATAATTTTAAAATATGAGCCATCTAAAGGACTTAAGCGAATTTTGCTTAAATCCTTGGTAAAGTCAATTAATGTCCTTGGTAAAGTCAATTGAAGATTCTAAAAAAAAAAAAAGCAGAATTAATAACGATAAACAGTTTGTTGTCCATTTTAAGTTTTTCATCTCGAATCTTTGAAGTCCCTATTTAAGCAAGAAGTGATACACTTATATTCTCTATTGTAAAGGGCTTCTTCAACAGTATTGATACGATTTCCTCTTGACACTGCAATGGCATGTAAAATATCAAAACCGATCTGTCTTTATTAATTGTGATCAGTATCCTAAAAGATATACACATATATATATATAAATATAAGCCTTAAGAAGAAGTTTTTAATTGAAACAGTAGTCTTCATACTACAACTCTGGTTGCGACCTTTTCAGCTGGAGCTCATTTTCATCTTTATGGATCATTGAATAAGTAAAATTATTGTTTTTGGTGTCAAGCCAAGTTGACCACACAATCAGTCCATATTTCTTTAAAAAGTAGAATGATTATCTCGTTGGCATGAACTGAGAGCACTAGCGAAACCGATATTAAAAATATTGTTATGGCCTGAATTGGAACATATTAACCTAAAAAGCATTTGCTTACAATCAAACGGGGATGTGTGAGATACGTGCGACACAACGTGTCAAGCAATCAATATATTAGCAGATGATGAAAACTAACCAAGAAATTCCGATACCCCGTGGGCTCTAAAGGGCTGTCATTTAACATTTTTGCACTGCTTCTCCGGCGAGAAGATGGCTGTAGTCATTCAAATAAAAATTTTTAATATCCAAAAAAAAAACGCGACAAAGAAATCGATGGGTGAACACTCATCATAAGCAGATATTTTTCTCACAATTGTTAACCTCACTTCTCAATATAAATGAGGACCACATATCCTCAACAATCAACATTTGACAGTTTTTGCGCAGGATAATTGTCTTTTCTTTCAGGTAAATTGCCTTTGCTTCTTAAAGAGAGAACATAATTAAGAACTTATTGCAAGTATTGTCCATCGCAAACCGGCTTTCGGGCATGCATTAGCGAAGCGACCACCAGTCGCTAAGGTAACTTTGATTTGATGAAAGTTTTTGTTAAAATTCAGAAATCAGACAAACTACCATCTATACTAGATGGCTTGAGTGTTGCAAGATCGGCCATCAATGCGATTGGAGGATGTCCTTGACCGATATAGTAACTTGTAGTTGAGCAGTATCATTGTATATTCATAACCTTACTCTGTCTTTCTGTAAAAGTTGCCGTTAACTCTAGTCACAATTTCGGCAATTACTTTTTATACCGTTAGGTATTGACTGTTTCATTAAGCACAAAGCTCGTAATAATTTATTACTAATCGATTTCAACAAATTGAGCGTCGTAACCTTGAAGGCTTCATTGTGTTGGCTTTTCATTTAACCGATGGTCGAGCTTAAAACGTTTAACATAAGGTTTCCCATTTTTATTTATTTTTTTTAAGAACAAAGAATTTCCTTTGATGATGCTATTCCCATGCATCGTCCACCGAAATTACCTTCGCTGCAATTCTATCTTCAACGAAATTTTTCTCATAATTTTTTTTAAGTTTTAGCCATCAAGTTAACTTTTCGGATGTCTTAGACGCTTTTCGCTCTTAACCGCGAGAATTTTCGATAAACTTTATTGAATACTTTTAGTAAAACTTTTCTTTAAAACACAGAAATGAACTAACAGTCATTCTCAAATCATATTCTTGTTGAGATCGCGAAAGAGGAAGAAATCATCGAAGCATCGAATGAAAGAAAGTGTGAAGTGAAACAAAAGAAAGAAATGAATGAAAACGCCAGGTATGGCGCGAATAATCTGAATACACGCATTCATCAAAAAATGTTTTGTTATTTCGTTTATGTGTTTCTGTTCATCGCTCTCGGAAATATTAAGACATAGCATTAAAACGCGCAACTTATCATGTTTGAAAACAGGCTTACACTTACATACAACTCTTAGAATACTGGAAAGATTTCAAGGTCGGAAATTTTTTGATATTGAATTGATATTGTTTTAGAATACGAATCAAAATTTATTGCCAAAACAATTGAATGCCAAAAATCTCGAACTCCGTTCTAATTGTAGGTAGTGTCAAGTTTTGGGTTTCATGTAATAGCCATGTAAATATAGAATCGGAATTGCAAGAACATGATAAAAAATATTTTATTCGAAATATTGTCCATAGCCAGTATCAACTGTCTGATATTCATCGAGCCGTTGTCGTAGATAGAGTGAAGCATTGCTCCGTAATTGCGGTTCCCCTCGATGCAAATATATCTATAGTGATCTGGCGGAGTTAAGTCTGGCAAGTAAGATGCATAGACTGACACTTTACCACTTGAGTGCATCCAAGGTGTTTATAACACTGTTGTGCCGTACGGTTATCATATGAAAAGATAACTTGTTTTGCTTTTTCTGATGTTCTGGCCGTTTTTTCTTTAAACATCGACCTGTTGAAATCAATCGATTGTTGTTAGTAGCATTTGGTATTAACCGTTTCACTAGGTATTCAACTTTAACAGCTTATAATAGGTCAGCAAGCACAAAGTATCATTCTCAAAGTCAATCAACTTGTCTCCTTAGCATAGGTACGATGCAAACACGATATTCTTTGGATAGTTCGAGGAAAGAAACAATGCCATCTATGGGAAAATTCTGGTTTCATAAGTACATGCCTGGTATAAATTAATACATTTGCATCATACGGGAGGAATGCAAGCGCCCCTTCAAGGTTGACTTCTTATTTTCTGCGGCTAATTTAAATTAAGATTGTTATCCGATTAAAGATCAAAATATATAGTTAGGTCATTCAGTGAAAAAATTAAAACAAAAGACTTGATAGACGTGTTTTCAAAAATATGCGAGCGGATTTTTCGATAACAAATATGGATTTTTTCATTCGTCACAATCTCTGCACTCCTCTTTAACGCACTCCCGGTTTCAATTAGTTGCTAACTTTTATTTATCCGGTCGCCGAAACCTTTTTATTTTTTTCGTGTTTGCCTTAAAGGACAATATCCCTGCAACAGCCCAAAAGAAGCAACTTTTAACAATTACTACTGCATAGAATGCAAGGTAGCAGGATACGAGAATTCAGAAAGATTATTAGGCGTATATTTACATAAAGATATAAAAAAAAGCAAAAAAAAAAAAAAAAAAATGGGTTGTAAAAATATAAAAAAATCGCAACATCGCAGCCTTTCTCCGGAGACATCTGCTACTCAAAGCTCTTTACGGCACGCAACGTTATTGCTCCAAATTTGAATTTTAAAAAGAAAGAAGTGAAAACATTACAGTCAGGCAAAGCCGGTCATTAGATACCCTATAGCGATTATTCATTGTTTTTATGCAAAGACATACTTTTCATGAAAGACCGCATATTGGACGATGGCCAAAACATCACACGGCAAACTTAATTTACTTGTACTATTTTTTAGGTTCCTGTCATAAGAAACTGGAAATTACATTTTCTCTACGTATAAGGGTTTGCTTTTCATCGTAGCCCTTGTACGCGTTAGGGTCTAAATAGCAGGCCTAAATGATCCATATGTTACCCTATCATTTATATTTTCCTAAAAATTCTTATATGCCTTGGTAAGCACGAAATTTACCTACCTAGTCCAAGTTTTGTAAGGTTGCCATCTATGGAATGGCAAAATAGTATTACACGGCGACTTTTGTCGATAAATTTTGAAAATTACGATTTTTTTTTTTTTGTGATCGTGAAAGGCAGATCGATCCGCGTTCAATATCGCCCTTCTTCGGGTCAAAACATATCAACGCATCAAAACATCTCAAAACTTGTGTCCTGTAGGTTGAACACAAAATGCATGGACCGACATCAGAGATCAACAAGCAAGACATTAGACTGCAATATTCCAGCAGAGATCCATTTGACAAAGGTATTCTTGTTGTAGTGATTGGAAAAATGCCCGAACTTTTCAAGGACAGAAAATTTGATGATTAATGATTTTGGCTTTTTCCCAATTCCCAAAGAAATTTCAAAGTATCTGTTAAACCAATAAAAAGAAAATAATCTTTTCGTTGATGAGAATTATCGACTTATGTCGCTTTTCACTAAGTAATAATCAGAGTTTAGTTAGAGAGAAGGACAAATGTCCCAGCGAGCCATATTCGGTGAGTTCGACGTCAAGGCCTTTACATATATACACCTAATTCTCTCCTGTGACACGAAATTTGATAT